TCTCACGCATGGAGTGGAAGTCTTTCTCCAGCAAGGATGATAGCTTGGCTTACATCCTCCGGTCACCCACCACCTGCACTGGGTCAAGGGGACTTCCCAGGACAGAGCTGGGCCTCTTGACCAGTTTATCTAGTCTTTTCCTGTCCATGGTCGAGATGCTGCTGCCCCAGCAGACCACTCCACAGAATATGGCCGATGCCACTACTATATCAAAGAAGGTCCTCAAAAGGGACCCCTGTGCTCCAAACGACCTTAGTCTCCTCAGCAGCCAGAGCCTGCTTTGACCTTTCTTGTAAAGTGCCTCGGGGTTGTTTGATCAGTCCAGTTTATTGTTAAGGTGAACACATAAGAGGTAAATCATATGCTATTGCCTTCACAGTCACCATATCTCAACCTAGTTGAACACCTATGGGATATTTTATAGTGAAGTGTTAGCGTCTCCACCACGATCATCAAAACACCAAATGAGGGAATATCTTTTGGAAGAATAGTGGTCATCCCTCCGCTAGAGTTCAGACACTTGTAGAAACAAGGTCAAAGTGCACTGAAGCTGTTCTGATGACATGTGGTGGCACAGCACTTCAATGTTGGGTTTTCCTTAAATTTGTCACCCATCTGTAATTTGAATGGGATCCATATATCACTTCTTCACTCTCCTGCTGACTGCCTGGTGAAGTTCCCTGCTTCTGTAGAAGCAAGCCAAGCAGAGAAAACAGCAACTGGAAAACCACCTGCTCTTTTGATTTGCATGGGCACACTCCTGCCTTGTCCCCACTAAACACACACACAGTCGTGTTTACATCACTTCAGAGGACATTATAGTGATTTACTCTTACCCCTAACCTAACCTAAGCTTCCAACAAGTCATCACTCTAAGTTTCATCAATCTACGTTATGTACTCGTGGCTTTTTGTCCCCGAAAGTAAGTCGAGCCCGCACAAAGTGAGTGTGCGGATGTATGTCCCCACAACATCAGTAACACACACTGAGCCAGGAAGAGTGGGGCAGACAGGTAGAAAGCATGCAAACAGGGATAGAAAACAAGTCTGAAGATGAGACAGACCAAGAAAGACATGCCCACCATCTTGTTTACATACCAAGGCAGCACACAACAATAATACAAAGAGCCAGTAACCGCATTCATGCGTGTCCACAAGGCACGTATTCAAAGCGGAAGTGCGTGACATGTGTTGGTTTACGTATAACTCTGCAGGTACCTTTAGACAACTAACACTGCACCTCGCTGTCGAACAGCACACTATACTGTCGACGAAAATCCGACTTTCTCTTCAGTGTAAAGTAAATGACTGCCAGTTGAACCTCTGACCTGGCAAAAATGTGCAGACAGGAACCATGTCGAAAGTGGAGGACAATAAAATCAGAAGGGGAACTATCATTTCCTCAAAACCTAGCTGTTCTAGCAATACTGCCTTATCAAACAGCTGTAACAAAATATTTTCAAGCAGGTTCACTTAACAGCGACACCGATACTGCAACTGAAAAATGATGAGCAGCTATACTTCACGCATGCGCAGGAGTACAAAGGCTAGGCACTACGACAGTCAGAAGCGGTTAAAAGAACAAATGAAGACTCAAATCGCCTTCGATATCAAAGAGATCTGGGTTTGGTGATAGTGGCAGCGGTAGTGGAAGGTGGTTCAATAAAGGCGGCTCCTACCGAAACGCAGGGGCTGGAGCTGGTGCTGGGGGTCGGTGAACGCTGCACAGTAACCAGCGCCATTCAGCGACCGGGAAGCAGACACCTGAGAGGAAGCGCCAGCGGCGAGACAAGCATAGCTGTTTTAAGAGAGAGAGAACCCAGCTGAACCACAGTTATTGGTCTTCTCTCATCTTCTCTCTCTCTGAACATAGGCTGTTTGACTACTCCCCGGCTGTTTCCTCTGTCGGCACCCCGTGCACATGCGCAACTAGCATTTGCTTGTCAGTCCCGATTAACCCTGTATGTGCCGGACTTAAACACAGCAGTTACGAGTAGCCTAGCAGGTGGCTGTGATGCACCTTAAGTTGGCTTGCAAACCGCCAATAAACATCAGAAGAAGAAGAAGCAGACACAAGTAGTGTGTTAGAATATCAGGGTAGTCGTAAGTTTGTACTGCAGACTGCTTCCAAAAATTTGGGTGACTTGCAGGACACCGTAATAAAAATTATAAAAATCAATGCAGAGGCTGAAATATCCTGACATGTAGCATTGGTGAGGCTCCCAAAACACTAGACCACACCATAGAAAGATTAATGAACGGGCCCACCAGGCACAGGCCCAAGGGCCCAAAGGTTCAGAGGGCCTGAGTGTCCCATTGGGCTGAAAAGTCAGTCAAACAACACAAACAGTTGCAAAAAGCAAAATCATTATACAGGGACATGAAACAACCACAAAATGACCAAAAGAGAGATGTAAAGTGACAACAAAGAGACACAAAAATGGAAAAATATACACATACATACAAAAGCAAAAACAAATATACACACAATACAGCATGTGAAGTGAAATCAAAATTTTAAATCCAATATTAACACAACGCAATCCACTGTTGTTTGGCATTCAGGGTGGATGGCAAAGTAAGAATTTCATTGTGCAGGGAAACATGTCTCCATATTGTGCATATGACAATAAACACTTTGAATCTTTAGCTCATTTTATGGGAGTTAAACAATGTTTGTAACTGATTCCAGCTGGTACTGAACTGCTGCAGTACAAATAACACAACAAAACTAGCTAATTTAGGTCAGTTGAGTCTTAGTAAGTGTGATTTCAATTCGCTATAACCTGGGTCAAGTCAGTCTCTCAGGATTTTTTAAATCTCTCAAGTAAATAAAATCAATTTAGTTCTAAGCTCGAGCCACATGATTCAGTATCTTATTTCAGCATCAGCCTTGAGAGGTGTGTTATATAATTCTGACCCACAGACTGAAAGAAACTTGTGTCTCTTTTGAGTCATTTTGCATCTTGATTTGCATCTCATATGAATCTATCCATATTTAGTTTTGGCTATTTGCTTCTCTTTGTACTTGTTTTGTGTCTCTTTTCAGTCATTTTCCATTTCTTTTTAGTTAAATTGCTTCCGTTTTCAGTTACTCTGTGGTGCTTTGTGGTTATATTGGTCCATGTCTTACTTTATTTTTTTTTGTCTATGAGGTCATTTTGTATGTCCCTGTCACTTTGTGACTCTTTGCAACTGTTTTGCATCTATTTTTCATTTTCTTTCTCTTAGTAGTTTGATTCATTAATCAAATTTGATTTGATATTTTTATTTTAATGTTTTGAAACAACATCACAGTTTCAATATTTTCAGTAAATTACTGTTTTTTCAGATCAGTATTAGTTTTCTTTGTCAACACAGTGATAAACCAAAAAATGTGTGTTGTTAAGATATAGTTCACAAGAGATGTTATTCACCAGACCCAGTTTTAAATTAATTATACCTGTCTTTAATTGAAACTGGCTCCAGTATTCAAATTTAGAAAAATAAAACATGATTTAATTTGTCTATCAAGCATCTTTGGCTATTCTGTACCAGAGAGGAGATGAGATGGAGTTAACAACAGAGATAATGGTGTTTGGATTTAGAGTCACTCAAACGAGGCAATAGCAATTTAAAGCTGCATCTTTACTTACATGTGAGACATGCTCTCTGGTCTGATTTAAGTCAATGGCTTACCACTGGTATAGAGCAGAAAAGCTGTTAACACTGACAGCAACAAATGACATAATCACATAAATGAAATGAGAAGTTTCTTAGCTTTTACACTGATGGACTGGAGCCACAGACTGTCAGCGGTCTGTCAGTAACCTATGTGTAAAGAAATTGAACTTTGTGTTTCAGTAGTCATGTGTCATTAAATTTGACGATGGTGGAATTTCCAACAAACATTCACACTCAGTGTCTTCAAATGTCGATTAAATAACAAATTCCCAAATTTAAAAGTTCATATAACGTGATTTCTTTCAGCCTGCTCAACATTATTTCAGTTCTTTTACTGCAGTTAGTTGCTTTTGTGCTTAGTTTTGCTAAAACAAATAATCGTTATTAGCTAAATATTTTCCTGTATATTACAATCAGACCTCCACAGATTTCCATCCAGAATAACAGTAGAATTTAACCCGGTTCTTTTATCTGAAGGCCCCAAAAGTAACACTCAGGAAACAGGAATCAGCTTTACGTAGATTTATTTTCTTCTGGTTAAATGCAGAGTTATTACAGCGCTGGGCTCTGAGAGATGACAAGTCTCCAAGAGCCTCGATTATCACAAAACGTTTACATTTATCTTCTCGGGCTGGGGCTGCCCTATACATGGGTGGTACATTACACGTCAATATTCTAGAATGTTCATATAGGCAGTATGTGTGTGTGTGTGTGTGTGTG